ATTAATAAATTAATAAATTAATCGTTGAGATAAGTATCGTGTAGAAATTATTTTGACTACATTACTTTGAAAAAATAATATTTCTTTCGTATATATCAACATTAACATTTCAACAAGTTTGCATCATTGCTTGGTTGAATTATCAGATTTGAAGCAAGAATAAATGAAGAGATCGATCAAACAAGATCGCGTCAAACGTCAACCCAAGATACGACGGAGTAATTAACGACAAATTAAAAGCGTTAAAAAAAATGCCGTATCGAGAGAGAAAGGGACAAGCGATTAAGCATGTTCCGTTGTAATTTATAGAAGTACCGACCGATCGAAAATCTCGTTGATAGAAAACGTAAGATGAGGATGCGGTAATTACCGGTCGCGGATCGATAACGATCGTTCGATTCGAGATCGCGTGTTACCACAAGATTTCCAACTCTAATCGAAAGAAACTCGGACGCATTACACAACGTTTACTTCGAATGTTGTTATAACTTTTTTTTCTTTTTTTTTTTTTTTTTTTTCCTTATCCGACAAATTTTCCACGAACTTGATCTTTGATTAGATGAGAATCGAATTAACTTAATCTTTATGTAGGAAGATAGAACAAAAAGAAAATTCATGATAATTTTATTCTATTGATTCTATTCATTTTCAAATATTTATTTTTTTATATCGAGAATATACATTGAAAACTAATTATAAAAAAAAAATAAAAAGGATTGAAGAAATAGTTTATTTTTCTGTATCGAGAATATATATTGAAACTAATTATAATTTTAAAAAAGTTTGAAAAATAGCTACTAATGAGTTACGAACAGCAAAGATAGAAACAATGTATACATCATCAGTCAGACATATCGTATGTAGAATCATTTTAAATTTTTCCATCCGATTTTCCTCATAATTTACGCGATTACGTAGATCAGATCGATATCGATACGAGAAAAACGCAATTCAACGTAGTTATTTTAATAGTGCTTTTATATCGTGGAAAATACACAATTGGTATATCTATAAGATACAAAGTGTCAAAGGTTAGATTAATAAATTCTCGAATTATTTGTCGCAATATGTGAATATCAAAAATTAATTAGAATTTTAAACTTTTAAAAAACAAGATTTAAGATTTGAAATAAATATTTTAATTTAAGCAATTATAAATAGTGACTCAGAATTTAGAGGTTAGATTGACATCTATTTATAATCAAAGAAAAATATTTATAAACGATATGTACATAGATAAATGTGATGAAGAATACATTAAAAATGAATTAAACTACGTATAAATTATAAATGCTATTCTATTATTAACTTAACAGTTAAGAAGTCTTAACCTAACCTAACAACGTCATCAAAGTAACCGATACAAATTGTTCGTAACTCATTGCACGATTACGAACATCATTGATACCAGATTTAATTTATTTTCGAAATATTTGTACACAATATTAAGAAATACATACCATACTTTTTTCTTTCCTGTTTGTTTCTTCTTCTTTCTAGTTAAATTAAGATTTAACGAGACAGTAATTGGAGGCGAAGAAGCACTCACTAACGAAAGATGCGCAGCTATTATCGATGCTACAACGTAATTACCAACCCGATTGAATGGTTATCGAAACGACTGACACAATCGATTAATTATCCGTGGAACGATTGCTTTGATCCCGCCACGAAAAGTATTCGATCGTATTTTGTTTCCGGTCGTCGGACGATAGAGCGGCTGGAGTAACGATACCATCGATAGAAGATATATCGCGGACGCGACTGCCACGTCAATCGAGATTCGAAAGATAGCGGTCGTTCGATATCTCGTCGAACGACCGATATTAATCGACATAAAATTAACTGATACAATTAAAAACAGGACACGTGACAGTAAGCGTACCTACGCATACTGAAATCAACAGAAAACGACAAAAATCATAAGCGGAAAGAAGGTTATGTTTGGTTTTTTCGATATTATAAATAGTTATAAAAATTTAAATATAAAAAAATTGGTTTCCCCCACTTGTTCGACAATTATTATCGTATCATCTTTCTAGAGAAATCTAGTTACAAAAATTTTTTTGCCAAGTTCAATACAAACACTTTGCACTTAACCTAAAAATATAACCGAAATATAACCGACTCGAATACCATGAATACCGTTAATACGATGAAAAAAAACGATATAAAATATGAATCCAAATAAAAAATAAATACGTTAAAAGATTCACTCACGTTTTTTTCTTCACATTGAACCACAGTTTACGATACATCTTTATGCCACTATCAAAGAATACAATCCATCAAGGAAGCACTGTTGAATTCAATCTCTCGTAAAGTCCTATAATAACAACAGAGGGAAGAAGCGTATTTCACCGAAGAAAGCAAGAAGACAAGATAGATAAAGAAGGATGAGAAGCGAAGGCAGCCGGACTTGCCTGGGAACAAGAAAAATTCTTGGTGGATCGATTCGATCCGCTATCGAGGGAAGACAGAGCGTGCGCCAACAGATAATAATAACAATCATATTCCAAAAATCCGGGCAGCAAACAATCGGACCGGTTATCGGGAACGGACGCGTCTCGATCTCGCCGTTCTGTCGGCCCTTCTCTCTCTTCCTCTCTCCGCCGCGTTTCCCGGCATCATCGTCGTGGATCGA